TGGTGAAAGAGGTGTGTTAAAGTCACCCAAAATTATTGTGTTGTGGTCTATTTGACTCTTGAACTTGAAAAGAGTTTGTTTGATGAACATAGATGCTCCATTGTTTGGGGCATATATATTTATAGTTGTTAAGTCTTGTTGGTGTATGGTTCCCTTGAGCACTATGTAATGTCCTTCTTTATCTTTTTGATTGACTTTAATTTGAAGTCTACTTTATTTGATATGAGGATGGAAACCCCTGCTTGGTTCCACAGTTCATGTGAGTGGTATGATTTTTCCCAACCTTTCACCTTCAGTCTGTGGATGTCTTTTCTTATAAGATGAGTCTCTTGGAGGCAGCATATTGTTGGGTCTTTTTTTTTATCCAATCTGCCAGTCTATGTCTTTTGATTGGTGAGTTTAGGCCATTAACATTCAGGGTTATTATTGAGACATGATTTTTTTAAGGATTTAACAAAATGTAGATATTTATTATGTATATACATACATTGAGGTCTATGCTGTGAATCTCATTAATAGATGAAGAGAGGTTCAATTAAGACTTCCAGTATGAAAAAGAATCTAAAATTCCACAGTAGAAGAGATCCTTTTAGAATACCATTATTGAGAATTAAAGATGGAATAGACAGGGTCCATTTGTTCACTCTGCAACTGTTTATTATACTCTGGGAAAATGAAGATGTGCAAAGTAATGCAGATACCAAAATATACTTTTAAAGTGTTTTTTGCTGAACTTGTCTCTGGAATCTTCAGACCCTAACATATACGCATATATTGGGAAAGTTATGGGTAAAAATAAAATGTATATTAATCATTAACATCTACACAAAACTGAATAGAAAAAAGAAATAACATAAAGTATGAAAACACAGATCATGAAATGTTTCTTGAATGTGAGGTTTGAAAGACTCTCAGAGGCCCGAAATTCATTTTTAAGGAAAACTTTAGAAAAAGCATAAAGCACTCCTCTATTTGGAACAGAAAAACTACAGTCTGATTATGAAGCAAGGGGACTTTACTGAATGATACATTGAGGTTTCTTCTATGGCACTTTAGATGATAGTAATAAAAAAATATATTAATGAAGAAAACCATTTAATACTGTAAAAGGATAACAAATAGACCCAAACAGAGATTCAACATTAAATATATATAGATGTTAGGCTAAATATTTTAAAATACAATATATTTCTACTAAACTGACAGAACATGGTTAGCTCATTCACTTGATAGTCATCTGTAATAAAGGCATTGTTAGATAACTTTAAAATACATTTATGGGCTTAATAATTATTAAGCTTGTTTTCCATGTACAGCAGATAAAAGTTTTATCAGATATAGAGTGCCATTTCATGGGAAATTAAATGAACATGTTTTAAACAAGATATTTTGCTTGAAGATACACAAAAAACATATAAAATGCCACATAGTACAGTGAAACAAGGTTCATGATCTTCACATTTACAGGAATTTATAAAATCTTTTCTGAAGGAAATGTATTACAATTCAGTCAAACTTCTCATCTTGAAAGTAATCCACAAAATTGAGATATTCTTCAAGTTGACCATATTTCTCTTTAATCCAGCCATTTTCTGTTGACTGACTGAAAATTCTTTCCACACTTTCTTTAACCTGTTCATCCTCAACTTCTTCTGTCTTTGCAAGAGAGCAACATTCCTGGTAGAGTTTGAACTTAAAATGTTTCAGTTTATGATAAATTCTGGTACGATCAGCACATATTCTGCCAACAGTAAACACCCGTTTATCATGTGACATAAAATCATCTGTTTCCATAGTCCTGGTATTATACAACTTTCCTGATAAATGCACTGAATATCTGCAGTGGCGATGCAATCCACAAGCCTGACAGGAACAGTTTTCAGGATTCTTCCAATGGATACTCACATTAGAATAATTTTCTACCCGCTCCTTATATTGCTCTTTCCAACGACTTCTAGAAGCTAAACTCTCTAGACTGGGCTGAACAAAGCGATTATCCAAATAATGAAGAGATGTCAACATATCTTGGGCATACAATTTTTGCCTGGTGCCATCATACAATGATCCCAGAAAAGATTCATCTAAAGCATTGATCAGAAGGGCCTTTACAACTCTTTCAAAGTGAGTATAGTGGTCACTAAAAGAATAAAGAGAATTCTGTTTTACTAATTTCAATTGAGAGGTAGTCAATTTTTTTTCTTGTTGATTTTTATTCTCTTCATCACCCTCCTCATCTTGTACTACAAAGTCATCAATAATATAATTATCTCTATCTTCATCATATTCAGAATCCTCCTCCTCCTCTTCATCACTGCTTGGGCAGGATTCCTTTTCAGAGTCCTTTCAGAGCGCCTCCGCCTTTGCTTCCGCCTCTGCCCTGGGCACTCGCTACAGCAGAGGCGCCCAAGACATGATTTGTATTCCCAGCCATTTTTGTTTATTTTTGGTATTTAACTTGACTTGGTTTCTCCTCTGAATAGATTTTCCTTTAGTGTAATACCTCCACCTGCTGATTTTCATCATTGTTTTTTCATTTCTTCTTTGTGGAATATTTTGCCAAGGATGTTCTGTAGAGCAGGCTTTCTAGTTTTAAATTCTTTTAACTTTTGTTTATCATGGAAGGCTTTTATTTCATCATCAAATCTAAAGTTTAATTTTGCTGGCTATAAGATTGATTGGCATCTATTTTCTTTCAGAGCTTGGTATATGTTATTCCGTAATCTCCTGTCTTTGAGGGTCTGGGTTGAAAAATCTGCTGAGATATGAATTGGTCTCCCCCTATATGTGATCTGATTCCTCTCTCTTGTGGATTTTAAGATTCTATCCTTATTCTGTATGCTAGGCATTTTCATTATAATGTGCCTTGGTGTACATCTGTTATAATTTTGTACATTTGGTGTCCTCTTGAATTTGGTTTTCCAATTCATTCTTCATGTTTGGGAAATTTTCATTGATATTATCTCATTGAAGAGATTGTATATTCATTCCTTTGGTTTGAAACTCTGTGCCTTAAAAATGGAAGTTCATAACCCACTTGAATCTAATGTATGAAATATGATATGTCAAGAGTTTTGTAATGTTTTGAACAACCAATAAAAAAAAAGAAACTCTGTGCCTTCTTCTATCCCAATAACTGTTAGATTTGGTCTTTTGATGCTCTCCCATAATTCTTGGATGTTCTGTTCATGGTTTCTTACTATCTTCACTATGTAGTCAACTTTATTACCCAGATTGTATACTTTGTCTTCATTATCTGATATTCTTTCTTCCAAGTGATCTAGTCTGTTGGTTATGCATTCTATTGAGTTTTTTATTTGGCTTATTGTTTCCTTCATTTCGAGGATTTCTGACTTTTTTTTTCAGAGTCTCTATCTCTCTCTCTTGAAGTAATTTTTTGCTACCTGTATTTGCTCTCTTATCTCATTGTTAGAGTGATCAATTTTTGCCTGTATTTGCTCATTTAGGTCATTCTTTAATTCACAGATCATTTTAATCATGAACCTTCTGAACTCCTCCTCTGACATTTCATCAACTTTGCTGTCCATGGGATTTGTTATTATAGTGTTCTGGTTTGTTTGGGGCACTTTCCTCCCTTGTTTTTTCACTTTGTCTGTGTGTCTTCCTTTCTTGCAGTGTGGATCTGAGATATTACAGTTTCTACCCTATATAGTACCGGGGCAGATTGTCTGTACCTCACCTTGATTTGGGGCTTCCAGACCCTGCTGGTGTCCTTCAATCTATGCTATTGCAAGTAAAGGTGGAGGTGGCAATAACCAAGGTAACTTGAGATAATATTGGAGGTGCCCCAAGATGGATGCAATGTCTTACTGAGATGGGGCTGAAAGGGTGGGCCTTACACTGTCTTTGGGCTGGCTCCTCTGAAATGCGGCTGCTTCTAGGCCCTGTCTATTGTCAACAAGGCAGGGGCTACTTCAAGGAGAAGGCTATGGTGGTGACTGCAGTGTCCCAAGATGGAAGTGGGTTAGGCTTGTGCTCCCAGGTGTGGGAGGGGGGTGAACTTGGACCTACCCTGGGCCTGGGACCCACATACGTCAGTGTGAGCAGATCTCTGCTGGGTCTGAGCTCCCGTGGTGGTCTTCTGGTTGGAAGAGGAGGTCCTGTACCAGAGCCTGGGCTCTAGCAGGTGCCTGCTGGTGGTGGGATGGATCCAGGCCTACTGTGAGCCTGGGTCCCACACAGGTTAGTGCGGGTGGATGTGAAGGTGTGGCTTCTTAGAACTTCTAGCTTGGGACACGCAGATTTATTTACCAAACAAGTGTGTAAAGCAGTCAAAGTTTCTCACCCCAGTCCAGACTCATACTTGCTGGGCTCACTACTTCTTTCAGCTTGTTTATATCAACTTAGAACACCTGGACTCTTTCTTAATAGTTCTGTCTCTCTTATCTCTCTTATCCAACTTTATCACCACCCAATCCACCAGTTCCTGTGGATTTTACCTCCTTTAATATCTTTTCCAGTACTTTCACAGACTATCTCCTCAGCCATCACTCTCCTTCAGGCTAATGCTGTCTCTTGCTTAAAACTCTGCACCACCCTGTTCTTGCCAAACTCAGCCTTCTGCAATCAGGTTACTTGTTTTTTGTAAAAATAAATTGCTTTGATTGAGGTAAAATACAATAAACACAAGAAAATGTTCAGATTTTAATTGTACAGCTCAAATTTTATATGCATATACACTATAATCACCATTTGGATCACATACATCACAGGAGAAAGCCTCCAATAAACCAGAAATTTCCTTTGTGGTCCTGTTGCAGTTCCTTGGCTCCAGTCAATGGAAAGAAGAAAGAGGCTGATAGACTAAGGTGGCATTGTCTCAGTTTACCTCCCGTGGGATGAAAGCTAATTACATGGGCACACCCAGCTAAAAGGGCCTGGTAAATGTAGTTCTAGCTGGGCAGTCATGTGCCCAATCACAACTTTATAACAGAAGAAAAGGAAAATAGATCATGGTGGACTCTGGTAGTCTCCACCACAAAATTATATTACAGTATTGATTTTTCTCAATCCATACAACATTTTATGTTATGCCATAGATTTAGTGCTTTTTAAACTTACGAAATAATTTTCTTGACAGTTCTTGAATGTCTTGATGTTTATAGTTTTGATGCATTGCAAGCAATATTTTTATTTCATTTTCTGTTTTGGCTTATATGGAAAGATGCAATTAATTTTTTGGATGTTGCTGTGTGTGTGTGTGTGTGTGTGTGTGTGTGTGTGTATGCACTTAAAAACCTTGGTGTCCTTGTTTGATAATGTGCAACCTTGGATGTTTCTGTGGCCCATATGGTGTGCCAGGTGTTGACAGTAGAGAGTCAGCAGCAGAATCCTCACTTTTCACTAACTTTCAGCTTTTAACCCTCCAACTTCTGCTTCCAATATCATTTTCTCTTCTCTCACTATGATCCTTTTCCCTTCCTCTCATAAGAACCACTGGATAACCTCCCCATCTCAAGATCCTTAATTACATTTACAGAATTCATTTTTTTAAAAAATAGGGGGTAATACATTCACAAATTTGGGGAATTTTCTTACATATCACAGTTCAGTAAGCATAGCAAATATTAAGAAAAAATTATTCATAACATTTGTTAAAGATAATAAGGAATACTTTATTCAAGCAGGGACTACCACAATGGAATTTTGTAGTAGGAGAGAGAAAGAGAGATCAGGTTCAACACCAAATAAAAGAAGGAAAAGTGGGAATTTATAGCTAAATAACAAGATGGAGGAGGTCATAGAGGAAAAATTACTAAGATGAAATATCCAGGGTGCAGAGAATTCAGACTTGCCAAAGGTGAGCCATGATCAGATCTGTCTCAGAGGATGGTAAAGGGTAAGTCTTTATCAGATAGGGAGAATTATCAGACATTAAGGGCATTAAGGGTGGATGATTCTGGTAAACTGTCTTAGCAGGATTCTTGTTATAATTGGAAGAAGCAGAAATGAGCACAGAAGCACAAAAGTCTAGCTGAGAAGAAAATTCAGAGCAGCTGTACTAGATTTTGGTCAAGGAACCTGACTAAAGCTTGACTAGAGTTTGATCAAGGAGTGTGTTAGTCAATTTTTTATCACTATTACAAAATGCTTGATGTAATTAAGTAAAAGGAGGAAAGGTTCATTTTGTCTCACAGTTTGAGAGGTTTCAGTCAATAGTCATGTGGCCCTGTTGCTTTGGGCCCTTGGTGGCACAGTACATCATGGCAGGAGCAGGTAGAAGAGACCTATTTACCTCATGGCAGCTGAGAAGCAAAAATAGAGAAGGGCTTGAGTTCCAGTTTACCCTTCGAGGGTTTGCCCCCAGTGACTAACTTTCTGTTGGTGAGTTTACAATAATCTACTCCCAAAGTTAATGTCCTACAGATGTTTTGTATGACTTCTTTCTTCCATATGACTTGCCCCCATTGACCTAATATCTTAGATACTGCCTAACGTTAATAGACCCCACCTACTGAATGTCCCACCACCTCCCAATAATGCCTAAAGTTGGAGACAGAGCCTTTAACTTAGGGGCTTTGGGGGACACTCCAGATCCAAATTATAACAATAAAAGAATCTTTGTCACTAATGAGGTACATCTTCAGTTGTAATCCATAGTTTTGTGAGATGTCATTTTTAAAGATTTTATAGCTATTAAAATTATTGAAATAAAGTCATTTTAGAACTAGATGCTCAGATTATATGCTGATTAATTTAAAAGAATTAATTGGAAACTAATATTTGGGATAGAAAGTTTTTATACTATTTACAAAGTTAAAAATATTAAAATAATGTCTATATTGTTCTTTTACAATTTATTTTATGTACGTTATGCTTTATACACGATAGGTGTCATTAAGACCTGTGCCAAGGAAACAGAGAGGCTGGGAGAATACAGGTCATGCAGAGTGGCTGATGACTTTTAGGAAATGAAGAATTTCAGGAATTACAGGAAGTGGATGAAAATGATTCAGCTGCCTGCTCACAACTGAAATGTAATAATTCATAGGAGGACACTGGGAAGCTTCTGGAAACATCTTAGATGCACCATCTGCCAAAATATGTGATTTGCCTGCTGGTGGCTCAGGAGCAATATTAAGGTTTCTGCTTTCTCCAACCCTCCAACGCTTGGGTGAGTATCTCTCCCAAGCAGATTCTAATCCAAACCCAGATTGGCAGGCATTCTGGGAAATGCATGCAGTTCCTAATCTTTTAGCTCTTTCAAATCAAATTGCTTTGGAAGGTGGATGGTGCTGAGAAAACCTGCACGACACAAATGGGCTCTTAAGACACATCAATTTCCCTATCCCCGATCTTGGACAAGTCCTGTGGTGGGCAGT